CAGTAGGGGAAGTAGCCAAATTTAGTAACTCGAAGCGCTACCATATCTGGTAGGGGAGGTAACTGATGAGAACGCACGCAATATATTAACGAACTGACATGAAGATGAAGGCTAAACTTGTGGAGCATATTGCCTAATTTGGAGGTCATCCATAGCATAGGATCAATACATTGTGATCTCCATGGTGGAAATGTACTTTTGGATAAAAATCCTACTTCAACATCTTCGAATCCTAGTTTCACTTCATACATATGCGATCTCGGTCTCTCTCAATCAGTACATTCATGCGAGTCAAACGCCTCAACCATTCGAAGAGTGTTACCCTATATTGCACCAGAAATTTTTCATACTCGCAAATATACTCCAAAATCAGATATATGCTTTTGGCATTCTCATGCATCAAATTGGCAGTGGCGAGCTACCATTTTGAGACCGAGCAATTTGATTGAAATATATTTGTTGTGATGCTGAACCAAATAATCGCCCGAATGCTGTGGAAGTTAAAGAGTACGTTCAGAGACTTATTCCTAAGCTGTATCATGAAGAGGCTGCTGTCTGGGATACCATTTATAAAAAAGAGAACACAAAGCCTATATCACACGTTGAGAAAGAGACCAAATATTCGATAGAATAGTGTCTGCTGAATGCCAACACCAAGAAATAGTTGTGATATTACGGGTATTGTCGCAATGCATACTGTTTAATTATTTATCATTATAGTAATAGTAACCTTGTCTTGTTTATTTAGATTCTAAACAAATTGAACTTGTGATACTAATACCGGATGAATTTATGTTAAATGATGTGATGTGAGTGGATACTGATTGTATATGCCGGACAATTGAGCAGCGGCTCTTCTAATAGTATTCAATCATAGATATGAAAAATTGACGTTGAGTTTGATATATACATATTAATAGTCATATACGCATTTACTCTTTATATTCTATACAATGAAGTAAGCATAATGCCACAATTACAATGTATTTATGTGCTAATAATAAGGCACAACGCAATCGTCAGGTGATGCATCGAAGATTAATAAAAATATTCGCCGTAATAATTACAGTCATTTATATTTATACTAATACGATCTAAATTTATCGTGCACTAGAAAATTATGCTTCTATCAATGACGCGTCCTTAATGTACAGTTTTATCACGTGTGGGATTACCAGCCTTCTTAGATAGTTATATCCAAATTAGCCTTGTATTTATTATTATGCCCAAACCTAGATGCAGGCTTGATATTGACATAACTCACATGTATAGTTCTACACGCGACAATCACAGCTTCAAAGGGAAAAGAAAGATGTATGTCGGGCCATAATTGGACATTCTTTGTCTTTTAATTTATCTACGCATTTTCTACATTAGGCAGTTAATCAATGCTTAAATGCATTCCAGTATTTATAATGATGGTTTGTTTTCACTTTAACGTATAATCTTTTTGACATTGTTGCTTGTTAACTTGCTCGAAGCAACCAAGGTACGAGTAGCAGATTGGTGTTTACAGCACATTTGGAAGTTAGCAATGAGATTCGCCCCTGCTTTTGGCCATAAACCATAATTCTCTCAATTTATCCATCTCGACAATTGTTTTGATTGTTTAACATTAAACATCGTGGTCCTGTCTCCATGCATTCCACGCAAACTAGTAATAAAAGTCTACAATAAATATATTTATCGCTCAACATAGTACCATATGGGTTTGGACTTGGCCTAAACTCTTAAATAGCAATTTCGAGTTATTAAACATTGTCTCCTGTCCTTTGTAAACTATACTCGCCGCATAATGACCGAAGCTAAATATGTTATAGCTGGCTGGGATTGGGATGCTGAAGGAAACGATGAGTTGGTATATGTCTATGTAGCATGGGTGAATGTATGTCAATAGGAAGCCAATGCCTAACCATGGTCTTGTTCTTGACACAGGCTCTCAAAGCCGGTGACGTAATAAAACTAATTAGCAAACATAACGATAACTGGTAAAGTGCGAATACGAGCATGTTTTAGCAATTTAATCATTAATTAACTGTTTTATTATCACTATCTGGTATTAATAGGTGGGAAGGTATTGTTTACACAAATATTAGTAGTAATTTGCCTTTGCTTGAGTATTCTCATTGATCTGTGATCCATTTCTATCAGGCGAGCTTGATAGTCGTCGCGGATTGTTTCCTGCAAGCTATGTTCGGGTTTTGGAAAATGTGCTAGAAGAGAATAGCACACAGGAATTAGCAGACACCCAAACTGGCAGTCTGGCTCATGTGTACGGTAATGCAATTGAAAGAGAAGTTCAACAGATGTACTCCGAGGAAGTGAGTAAGGATCAGGACGTCAGGATAAACGAATATAGTAATGAGGATGGAACAAACTATCATCTGCAAAATCAAGCCGTTGAAGAGAGTGTTCAGTATATTTCGGAGCTGAGATACGAGACTCTCTATTATGAGCAAGAAAATTTCATTGAGCAACAACAAGAACCTATCAATGTCCCATCGTATAATAAACATGCTGATCAGGAATCAAATGTCGACCACATAAAACGCTCGAACAGGCATCGACCAACGGGCAGTGAAGGACATCAACTATCAGTTGAGCACGTTGAAATACAACACAATGAATCCCAATCAACACAAGAAATCACTGAAGATGTCACGGCTGAACCAATACATCATGCACCATATGACCGAGAAATCCATAACGACAGCAACAACGATGCTGAATCTGTTAAAGAAGATTCATCAGAAGAAGAGCAAGCTGATCACAAACATTATCCCCGACTGCTTTACGCTGGAGAACAACCATCTCAGGAGGAATTGTTGCTGCAGAATACCATTGACGACCAAGGCGAACAAAGTATGCACGATCAGTATTTGGATGAGCAATTGTCAGAAGATGAGACGTTCCCCGAAGACCTATTAAGAGAACAAATATTTGAAAGGGAGTTCGAAGGAAACGTCTGGGATATCATGGAACATTATCGTAATAGGGAAGGTACGTATGGAATGGGGCCTGCATAATATTCAGCATTGTTACTTTATCTGATGTTATGCTCTTATCTATTAGGTTTGTCGGACAATTATACGGATAATGTTTCCCCGCAAGTGGTAAGCAAACACCTTGGGTATATCAAATGAGTGACATAAATTCGATTGCGTTTTCTTCTCATTAATGTTACATTTATTATAAGGATGCCGATGAAGTTCATACAGCCGATGATGAAGGCTACCATCTACTTCCAAGCGATGATGAGGGACGTTACAGCGAACTACATTCATCATTAAACGTTGAAGATTATGAGAATACTCTACGTGCTGCATCATTAGAACAAGACGATTCAATCAACAAGGGAGTGGGAGATCTGAAGCTAGAAGACGATTATGAAGACAATCCATTTGTTTCATCAGACGAAACCTTTGATCAATTATCACAATCAAGAACCACTAATGACTTGGAAGACGATGATATTGATAGTCCTCAACGTAAGATTTCTGATTCCACTATAGATGATGATATTTATAGTGAGGATGGGCAAGCGTCCTTATACAGTTCAACAATGGGAGAGATGGCTTGGGATACTTCGTTACTGAATACGGAACTACATAGAAAAGCCGTCGTCTACGATGATTTCTCATTGGTGGTGACTCAAACGCTTCAAGGCAATCAATCCTTCGAGCGGCAGGTTATAAGCAATGAGCATGAGGAGGGAACGGTCCAACTGCCAAGTCGAGATGGCAGGGAACAAGATGACGACAATGTAATTCTAAATTCTGATGCAACGGTTCCAACTGACGATGTAGCATTGGACAATCAAAGATCGTCAGAATCAGGTGATCAACGTCAACGTCCCCCATCGGTAATACATTCACAACTGCGTCAGCTAGAGTCTGACCGTAACCAACAATTGAATTTACCGAAAGGCTGGTGGTCTAGCGTCGGTTTGTATTTGTTTATTTATTCTCCCATTTAATAACAACATTAAAATATGAATTTGTTAGCAGCGAATACTTTATTTATGGTTAGATTAGGAGTATTAGTATTATCCGAAACTATAGTTTAAATAATAGTATATCTGGATCAGAAATATTCAAATACAAGTACCAATCAAATCTCTACACTCGATAACTACAACTCATTCAGTTGGGTCACTGCCAATTATGTTCAGACGACAGCGGTGCAGTATTCTATTACAACGAATTCACGAATGAGTCACAGTGGGAGATGCCAGTAGAAACAACGGCCATAGCGATAAATAAGACGGAAGAAGAAAGAAACGAAGAAGCTATAAGCAACGTCGTAGAATCTGAATTAATGGAAGGATACGGTTTGTCAGAAAACATTAATGAACCGAATTACCCTACGACCGAGGTTAGTACAGAATTGTAATTTTATGGTGTCAAAAACAATATTTGGATATGAATGAAGAAATTGGTTTACACTATTTTATATAGGAATCTGTTGACCTTAGAAGTTATTCCAGAACTCACTCTGACAATCACCACGAGAGGCCCATTCCACCGGAGAAAGTATATTATGCTACTGGTGAGGATCATCATGCTGGGCTGGGTGGATCCGGCGACCGGACAGAACTAAGTATATTGGTAAAATATCAGAATTCTGCGATTTATCTAAGGTAATGAAACAACGCGCTCATCACACATTGCTCATATATTATGCCAGCAACTCGATCGCATACCAGCCGAATGGATCCATAAGCAAGGCTTTTTATCAATGAAAGCGGAAAGTCCAGAAGGCGATAAGCTGAGCTCATGGAAGCTATATTGGGTTGTGCTTTGTGATGTATATATACTATTCTACAAAAGCTCACCTGAGAGGAACAAAGTACGCCAACTTGCTTACTATAGTACTCGTATATATAGTCGTCAACTAACCGTTGCTAATAATATTGACTACAGAAAACCGAGAAGAAAGCAATGCCAGTGGGGCTATTTGACGTGCATAAAGATAAATTAGAGTTGGCGGGGAGACGACATACCAAGCAGAAACATGTATTTATACTTAATGCTTGTGATGGAGTGAGAATATTTATGCAAGCTCAGACTGATAATGAAGCAAAAGGATGGGTAGATATGATAAATTTCAATCAAGAAATGCGAAGAAAATCTCACGAGGTAAATTTATACATAGTCAGACATGTTAATCATTTTGAGTTTGCTAACAGTGTTGTTTATTTTACAGTCAAATAACGAACCAGGTGAGTGATTAAAGCATAGTGAGTTTGTCTTAACTATCTGCATAAGGCTATATAATATTTTGCTTTGATTTCATAGAAATTGATTCTTTACTGCGAGCATGAGTGAATAAAATTAATGACATGGGTATCAACAGGAAAGTCAAGAAGGGATTACAGTCAAAAGGTGATTATATCTACTGTAGAAAGCTAATCGAAGAAAACATTGTAACTGAGTCCAATCTTTCTGCATAGCGAGTGAATTCAGGAAGACAGAAAAAGAGAATACAAGCCTTGTCAAGAAGAAATCTAAAAAATTCGGTAATATACTATTAATCACTGGATTTTATAGAATGAAATTCACATAATTAACATCCGCGTATAAATAAGGTGCCAGTAATGTCGCATCGAAAAAGAGGAATTGGTTCTTCCAGAATAAGCCACAGTCATCGAACTATAACAAGAGGCCCGTACACAACGGTATGCTGCGCATATATTTAGACCAGATAACAAGGTGTTCAATACAGTCTTGCTTTTACTGCCTAGTTGATATATTTACAAGTTTGAAATTGGGCAGATTTGATTTTTGGTGGACTGCTTGAAAATCCAGATGGTCGAATACCACAAATTGTCGAACAATGCATAAAAGTAGTGGATGAACGCGGTGAGAGGCAGATTCTCATTTATCTATGAAATGAGCTATACATAGACTTGATAATTAATAAAATCTTCTTATAGGTTTGCAAAGTGTTGGCTTATATCGACTATCGGGAAATACAGCCACCATTCAGAAATTGCGAAATCAGGTTAATGATGGTAATTATAATGTCTGCGAGCAACAATAATGAAACCTCAAGACTTTCTTCTTCTAGTCACTTCAACACAAAATTTTGCCAACACGGAAATTTAGGCGAACCAGTAAATCTCTACGATGAACCAGACATAAACGCAATAGCCGGGCTGCTTAAACTTTATTTTCGCGAATTGGCTAATCCTTTGATACCATTCGAATACTATGATATATTTATAGAGGCAGCAAGTGAGTTGCATAACACCTTATGCTTCCCTTTCTGTTGTCAATTGTTCGTTTTGTACTTTTCTATTGACCAATAACTTCCACATATCCTATAGAAATAACTGATTATAATGAGAAAATGTACCGACTACACTCGCTGGTTCATTCTCTCCCTCAAGTCTATTTCGAAACCCTCGAAACTCTCATGAGACACTTGTCACGTGTGACATCTTATAGTGAGGAAAATAAGATGGAACCGCAAAATCTAGCAATTGTATTTGCTCCCAATTTAATCCGACCTTTCGAAGCCGGAATCGAAAGTATTATGGATTCTGGGTTGCAGAGTCAAATCATAGAAACATTGATTGAGCAATGCGAATGGTTCTTTGACGACGATGACGATGACGACGACGACGATGACGACGACGATGGTGATAATGAAGAGCGTGTGGAAATAAGTGAGGAATAGCGTCTGTGCTACCAAAAATTTAAGGGCTAGTCATAGTTTATGGCCAACCTGATAGTGCGAATTTAACTTATTGTCATTTGTAATTATTGCATTAAATTAAAATAAATTCTAAATTGGCCGTCAAATGAATTCGATGCCGTGATTACATAACATTTCGTGTGACAAAAGGTCGAATTTACAAGGGAACCTTTCATTTTAACGTTCACGTCCTTTGTACATATTCTAATGCTCCTTTAATTATAAATTATATTATGCGAAAAGTCTTTGACTGCAGAAATGAGAACATCTTCCGGTAACAATCTGTGTTTAGATCCTATTATTATGATTATGGTTATGGTTATCCCGCATACTCCAAGAACTGTCTTGGGCACTGGAGATCGGGGCATATTTTTTTTTTTCAATCAAAGTGGCTCAGCGACGAATGAAATTGTTCTAGTGGCATGTGTGCAGGTGGGACGGGGCGATGCAAAAATCAATATATATGTTGTGAACAGGAAAATAGTACGTTTTATCTTTGATGCAATATGGAGACAATTGGGAATTTGCAGACTTTATTGTCCAAAAACATTGAAACAATCGGGAAATAACAATGCATGTCGTTCAAAACATACGCCACGGGGACAGAAGTAACAAACATTAACATATCTTCTCACGATTCCCCACGCATAATAATAAAGACATTGAATATGAATCTGGTGGCCTCCGTTTCAACAATATATCTATTGTCATGTAATATTGTTGTCATTTGCTTAGTAGAATTAAAGTTGTGAGGCTTGCACATAACAGAGTCCTTCGTTCATTTCTTAAAAAAACGACGCACGGTTCGTTTAGTATTATTATGTTTGACACGTTGAAGTAATACAAGTAATTTGACCCCCGAAGGGGTTATATGTGCAATTTACGTAATGTCAATTAGGATCAAAGCTGTCAGTCTGGCGTTAACCATCAACCAATCGTATCATTTATTGAACGAATGGACCGATTTCACGCAGTATTAAAAGTAAGCAGCGGGTAAAGTTTTCTATTGGAGGCCCATGGAAAAGACGACAAGCACACATAACTATAATTAGCACACATGGATTGGAAAGCCAAGAACTCGATCCACCATATATATTACGGTATACCTTTGTGGTGTTTTAAAGAAGGTTTCCCGATGATTCTTTCACGCGCACGACCCAGGCATTTACTATTAAGTAAGCAACCCACATAGGACGAATCAGCAATGATGGACATATGTCCAAACTAATAAAGTACAAACAGAATAAATGCCAAAAAAAGAAAAAACTATACAAACACAAATGATATCAACCATTGCCTTATCTGAACATACAACGATATGTTTGTAGAATAACAACGTTCAAAACGGGTCAAATCTGTCGATTAATAAACATGATACATGCAAGTGTCGAGGGAATGATTTATGCACAATGGATATCTCTAATTAATGTTAAGTGACTAAGCCACATGGCCAATAAAAAACCGCATATTACCTGTAAGTAACTCCCTAGTGCCACCTATTGACCAATGACTGCATATAAATGAAACGGAAGTATTATTTCATTGTCACTGGAGAAAACATTACCCGAGTGTCCTGTGGGGTGATTTATGTAACAAGGGATGGGCGACATTCAAAGAAATTTTCGATTGACATACCAATCCCCTTTCGTTAAAGTATGACATATACGATCAAACTTATTTTATTTAAGGCAGGATAAGAAACTAAACTATACGAGGGACAGCCAATATTAACATCTTCAATCAGCCGTTGCTGCTCTTGTCGATATTTGGTTACGAACAATATCAATAGATTACGATATTCATTACGAGATTTTTTTGCAATATTGAACATAAAAATTTATCAAATGGGTTATCCCGATGGGAGAAGAAGGCCTTTTTGCCTTTTTTTGACGTTTCGTGGTTAAAATGCGGGGCTATGCTTAATTACAGAGAACATTTTTTATTGGTGCGCAAGATGGTATTCAGCCTAGCGTCATAGTGTCCGAATAAATTGCACTTTTCTGGCCATTGTCTGTGTGTTGTATTGATTCCTGTGTACATTAACTCGACACATCTTTCATATCGTTGATAGTCAATCATTCACACGTGTGCTTGATGGCCAATTATAGGACCAACATTCTTAATAACTTTATCGAACAAAGGGTAAAATGGGTTAAAGCTAAATGTATTTTGATAAACCAAGACAGCAAATAGTTACAAATATAGTGATCTGATGAGAGACTCACTCAGGTTCTCACATTAGCCAAGTTTTCTTTCATATTGACGTCGGTCAGTCTCCCCTATACGTGCGGTAAGTCACACCAACTTATATTAAGATGGAGTAAACGGCATAGCCTATCGACATCAGAATCGAATCGATTGTTGTGATCTTATTCTCTGGAAAGCCGGATCATTGTTTGGGGTTGCTGTATTAGTATCCAACAGTATATGTTACACATGTACTGAAATAGTTTTCACGTGAGATAGGGATGAACAGCATTTGGGGCACATCCTGCAACACAGCAGGTTCAAACCGCTTCCCCACATTTTTCTTAACGGTTGTTGGTAACACGAGCAAATTGAATTGTCTCATTATAAAAATATTTGTTAATAGGGAAATAAAATCTAGTTCGATACGTTTTCGCTCATAAGTATCAAGGGCGTGTGTAGCGAAAGCTAAATAATAAGGTAGTACAAACTTTTAAATCTTTCTTGCATACATATAGAATGTGTGCTCGATCATTATCATCAATCTACAGCGCTTTCGATATTTATTGTAGGAAAATTTATGACTTAAATCTTAAGGCAAAGTGGGCTTTTTTATAGACGGTATGCGATTACGTTAATCATAATAAAGAAATGGGACAGAGTTGAAAGTTTTTAAACTGACCTACCTAATGATGGATACTGTCATTTGATTTACCAAGGTAATCTTAAATTCGGATTGATGAAAGATGTTACAAAAGATGACCGTTGCTAAGACTGTAAAAGTCAAGGACAAGTGGGAAAAAGCGTGTTTACTTGCATATTAGTTTTATTCAATTGATACAGTAATCTGCAACTGGTAAACTTGAATGGCTGCTGAAGTGCTCTTTATTGGATTTATTGTTATTTTAGTGTCCCATCCTTTAATTGATATTAACGAATACGGGTAGATAATTTATAGAATCCTCAAAGATAGTATGTTTTATATTGTGCTTACGGTAATTTCCCCAACTTCTTGATCAATGCTATAGTAAATTAAACATTCTTTTGAGTGGACTTGCGCAATTAAGTTGTGAGAATTCTTATAAATCATTAATAAAACTTATTTAACTCTTCTAATAATTAAATTTTACTGGTCCATAGATTTGAAGTCCGAAATCTCGTAAGAATTTACAGCACTATATTACCTATCATTGATGTGTAACATTTATGTTATCACTTATAAAAGTATATCCCAAAAAGACGAAAAAGATAAACCAGTTTTAATGTTTCACCGATTGATCGGCGGATTCGGCCAACGTTTCTCCCAGTATTAGTATTAGTATTAGTTAGTTTATGTAAACCATCATAAATCTCATATCTATCCAACACTCTTTAAATAAACCGATGCCTTGTCGTACGACTAATGCGGTTGACTGGACAATTGCATAATATTTTGTTATATATTAATATTGCATATCGTAATATGATTTATTTAATATTCATATAATAATCGATATAATCATTGCAGAAGCAATAAACGCATACCTTCAACAAATTTTTGCAATCCACATACGCGATTTTGCTGATTTAGATATTTAATTGACCAACAAATTGGATTATTGCCATGGAATTTTGTTCCAAGCTGATATGTAGATAAACTGTTATGAATAGAGCGTTATAATATACTCACAGGACATGAAAATTGTGACAACAACCGCCCATATCTCTGCTTCGGATTTAAAGTTTGCATACGGATCTATCGATGAGAATAAAATATTGGGGTGAATACCAATTAGTTGTGGGGGGGGGGGACTTTTATCTGGGAATAAGTCGAATTAGGCATTTAACCCTCAACTTTAATCACCAGGGTCCACTTAACTGAGTGATACGAATGATAACTGAGGAATAAAGCGCTTTCACAAAGCTGCAAGCTAATGCAGCCAACTTGGCAATTATGGTCAGAAACCAGTTTACGTAAGCAAATAGAATGAAAATCAGTGTTATTATATTAAATGATTAGATGATGTATATAGCATTGTTCATTGTAGACTTTATGCTATATTATACTATTATACTATTATATACTATTGTTCACGTGTTCTCCTAAAAGCTTCTTCGACTAATCCAGCTTGCACTCGTATTCTGTTTTAAGTTTGTCAGGCATCACCGATATTCTGTACGATAAATATGTCAAGCAAAACATCTCCATATCGAGATGTGTCTTTTCCAATTAATTTAGTTGCATAAGCAGTCTATGCCAAGTTGTTGGAAACGCCGCATCCGATTTTTTTCATGACTTAAATCTGTGCGAGTATCATGGTTACAATGTCCAGCATTTTGTCAACCATGTTTACAAGCTTCCGAACAAGAGATCTTTGTAAGCTACCAAAGCTCATGACATCACAAGATTCCAACATTTTCATATCTTATGTTTCTAACAAGGATTTCTTTGATAATATTCGCATATCCATATTTATTACGAAGGCTCCCAGCAACACAATTTGTTTGATATGGAGAGCCTTCAACAGTCTGACGAACAATCTTGCAAAGGTTGCTACGTAGTAAAGCTGTTATCCTGACGTTTGACCGACTACCATTAATACGTTAGATACGATAGTCGCGTTAACGCAATATGTTTACCAAATAGTTGTCTCCCGTCTTATTGGGAGAAATACCCTTATATGTAGTATGGATGCGGGGTAAGCTGAGAACGTGATTGTTTGTTATTATGCAGTATGACAGGATGTGCCTGCCTTTATTGGAAATACCTATTAATTTGTTATAGCATGCACAACTACAATATTCATGACGCCTGTCCTACTTCTGAAAACTTTGTTGACGAAAGAATTCGTACATAGACTCGTCTTGGAGTGTTGAACGTTGAACATGGCTTTAAGTTTACGTAGTAAGATATATCTTCATATTGAACTAGCCTCGTACAGGTAAAAAGTTCTGCTATAACTCACTGATTAAAAGTCGAATTACTATTTCAAGTGATTGTCAACTAACAAACGATAATGCTCATCGAGAAAGACAAGTTTGTCGTTCCCCCGTTATGACGAAGAACTAATTATTAATAATTACTATATCATTAATGTCCCATTGCCAGTCGTACGTTAGGTAATATGACATACAGTAAACCTCCCTGTAACAATATGCCATTCATCAAAGTTATCGTATGTAACGGTGATTTACAAATGGCTTGCATGATTTAGCAATTCGAATGTTAATTAATACTATAATTAAATCGTGTAATACCTCGTGCCGTATGTGTAGATCGATCACAACGCCCAAGTAACACAATATCTGAGCATTTAGATTAGGATTGGGGATCGAAAATTGGGGTACACATACCAGTCACTATAGATTGTCGAGTTGGATATTACACCTCATATTTTTATCCCACTCAGATACATCCCTATCCCCAAAATTCTACGGTCCCGATTCCCCATGCCCTATATAATAATAATAATCTATTATGTCCGTGCCCTATCACTGTTACAATCCCCTATGACACAAAATATCTATTTATATTCTGTGCCAGGCTTGTACTACCAATTTAATATGCCACATAAATCAGGCCACATAAATCAGACAAATCAAGCGCAAGTCAGGCCCATAAATCAGGCCACATAAATCAGGCCACATAAATCGGGCCACATAAATCGGGCCACATAAATCAGGCCACATAAATCAGGCCACATAAATCAGGCCACATAAATCAGGCCACATAAATCAGGCCACATAAATCGGCGTTAGAACAAAGAGAGTTTACAACAGAAAGTGATAGCGCTGTCCCTGAGAAAATTGAACAGCAAGAAGAAGAAGACGTAAAAGTAGACCCATAAGACATTTTTGAGAATAAAACTTGGAAGAAAAAGTCACTGAAATTGGAATTCAGTGATAAGTTGTCGCTAGAACCAAAAACTGGCTTAGCGATGCGGATGATTGGCGTTGTAAAAATGTCTAGGACAGTGAGAATGCTGATGTCATAATAAGACCAATTCTAATTAGAATGAAATATTTATGCATAATGTGTTAAATTGTGGCTTGTTGCCTGCGAATAAATTATCTTTTACATTATCAATCTCGTTGCTTCTTTTTGTTCCAGATCATACAATGTTTACCCATCGCTTATCCATTCTATATGCAGAGCTGTGGGGCGCATTGTAAATGAAATGCATGTGATTCAAAACGAAAAAAGATAACATTGTGCTGTATGCGGTTACGTGTACTTGCACAGATGTAATAAACTAATACAAGTTTGTCTAACCGTTTGCTCTCGCAGAAAGCCTGGGTCCAAAGCATTGTATGTTTGGGTGACATTCTCGTATGTGGGCAGTTCCCCCAAAAATCAGCAATTTTCACACGCTCAAATAGATTAGATCCCGCCCGAACTCGTTCTGGCGTAATTCATGGTTCCACATGTATCTATGAACTGCCGTATTGGCAGCAAAATTAACATACATTGCGCGCAATATTAGAATTAAATCTAGTTAATTATTGTGGAAAATCCGGCTGAAGCTGAAACCATGGTTAATCAGATTCTATTCTCTAACCCCATTGATTAGTTTCAGCTTCGGCCGGATTTCAGCATAAGCCGCGACAATTATGTTTATATGATTAAAAGTACTTATACTAGGCAACAAAACCTGATCACGTAATTCAAATTGCTGATGTGACTGAGAAAACACTCAACTAGCTTTACTTGAGTGGCTAATTTTAGTGGCATTTTTAAATTACAAATGTGACTTACCTGTTATATTCAAATTAATTAACGTTAAGTTGACAACAAGTTAATATAGTATTATCGATAACATCTTCAGGACAGCGTTGTATCTCAGTTGGGGACCTGTCTCAGTTCTGGACTGAGACAACTGGATGTCTGGGTTCTGGACTGGGACAACTGAGTTCTGGACTGAGTGACTGGGTTCCGAACTGAGACAGGTCCCCAACTGAGGTACAACATACCACGGCAATACAAGCGGGAAAGTTCCGGTTAAAATCGACGAGGCAGAAACTATCGGCGTTCTCAAAAAGGCCATCTGGGAAGAGAAACAGAACGTTTTCCAAGGTCTCGATGCTGCAGATCTGGAAGGTCCAAATTCGCGCCAGCCCTACACTGGATGGCGTGAAGTTGAGGATCAATTTTACAATACTCCCAACCATATAATAGTGAGGGCTCCAGGTAATCAATTCCTAGCGTATCTAATTTATTTGTTGCTCTGTCATTCCACCAATTCTCTTCTTTTTTTTCCATTGCGTTCATTCTTTGCTCTTGATCTTTATTTCCGACTTCCGATTAATATAAATTTTACCTGCTTCCGTTTTTCTTGCAAGTGAACCGGTCAGTATTGTTGGATAACGAAAACCGGGTTGTGCATGAGCCACAGCTAAACTCACCAAAAATTTATCGGCTAAATTAGTTTATTTTCCAGTCATTTTTAGATTACGCAGGTAAATGTTCACTTTGGTTATGCCCATATGAGGAGACCGTTTATTTCACCTACAGCTGATATGATGTTGGCCAAAATTGTCGGCTAGATATCGCGCTAAGGCTTAAACCAGTATCTACCCAATTATCATACACAAACGCCTTAATGTTATAGTAGGCATTGATTAGCAGATTTAGCGTAAGTAGTTACGATCGCCATTGCTTTGCTTCCCACGCTGTCGCCATGTGAGATATCTGTTGTGTAATTATAAACATCACATGGGACACAGCAAAGCACTTGTAAATGATTTAACGTCCTTACGGTTATTGTATCCGTAAACAAAGATTCTCAGACCACAAGAATTTGGCAATATCGATTAACGATAAGCGCATAATTATTCTTAAACTTGTACGAAAAAGTGATTGGTAATACTAAAGCATTTAAGCAGAAGAACTGCCTTATCTTGTGTTCATCATAGCATTTATCTTATTATGGAAATGATCTCGCAAGGTGTATTGATATTTTCTCACATTTAATACAAGACGTATAAAACAAAACGTACCCTCGAAACCGAGGCGCTAAGTTAAGTTCAAGCTGGTGAGGAGCAGTTATTCGCACCGAATTCCATCCAACAAACAGCTCGACTTTTAGGCGATTTTTACTCGTCACTAATATACTTCTCATTTTTACGGGATAACTATCAATTTAAATTTTAACTAATTTTGGTAAGAATCGGTATGCACAGTGATGACACCTATCTGTTATATCTATATGTGTGGCTTTGCGTGAGACTTTATTTCCAGGCTAGTTATTATAGTCAATAATTTTCCCGACACTTTTATGGTCGTACGGCATATTCTCCAAATCACCGTCGATTATAACTAACACGAATGGACTAGTGTATTATATAAAGTGGTCTGGATCATTGACTATAACTTGGAACAGATTGTTTGTCTTAAATTACTAACATGGGTTTATTATAAAGTAACAAGTGGACACGTCTAGTGGTACTAGCTTTAGTATTAAATCAACTGGGTAATAGGTCTTAAAGCGTGGTCTTGTAATACTGTATGTATGTATCTTCTTACTACGGAGTATCAATGAAAAAGGTCAAATGATAAAGTTCTAAATTATAAAAAAAAAAGGTCAAATGATGATTCGAGTTTATTCAATTACAGCATTTTAGATCACGTTTTTCGTTTTGATGTTGTATTAATATTAACATGCTTAATATACAAAAAAGATAATTTTTTGTTTACTCTAAATGTCCGTGCTTTCATTCCCCACTAGCATATATATAATTTCAGTATTCAATTAAATGATCCCTTTATATTTAGTACTATAAGCAAAAGAAAAGTTTTTAGCTGAGCCGAAGCAAGAGAGACAGGTCCCAAACTCAGACACAACATTACTATTAAGCATGTCTTGTATAACAAACTTTTTTCACTCATGACCTGCCTCCAAAGACATATTACTAGTCTCGATTCTATATTCAAGTAGAACCATTAGATTCGCAGTTCAAACTTAAAATTTTACTATTTTTCCTACTTGTAATTCTAGGCGTTTGTTATGGATTAATTTACAGTTGATGCTGTCTGTCTACAGTGATCTGAGGCTTTTAGTTCACTATAGCCAAAGTTATGTGACATGAACGTACAACGGATAGTAGTGAATTATTACATTTATCGATTCCCAATTACCATTCGATCATTTTATCCTCAAAATGACTTGTTTAAAATTTTGTTAAATGGCTAGTCTGCGTACTTCTCTCGAAATCTTTACTTCTTTGATAACTTTGGCAAATTACCGATAGATAGATATACTGACTATTAAATTCCAACTTTTCTATCGGTTTAGCTTCATTTTTGCTACTCATCTCCCCCGCCCGATTTACCAATTCTGTTACATCCTGATCTTCTCGTTCACCTGAATAATTTACCTGAATGGTTTGTATACGTGTACACTAAATTTGGCTAATGGCCTGATTTCTTTTTGGCCAAGGCATTTTTTCGTTGAATTACGTGTTGACGTGACAGAATTTCGATTGGGCTTAAGAGCAATGAGTTCACAGACGACATTATTGCTATAGACAGATTCATTAATAAAGTTCACTATAAGCAGATTTATTATGTTATAGAAAATTCGGTTCTTGAGAGTTTCGTATGGCCAGGTTCACTATAGTCAGCGTCAACTTATACATAGTAAAATCACTCTCACTTGACTTACAACGAAGTATTTTTCTGGAACCGGTTTGCTGTTAACAAGATAAACAAAGATTTATATGTAAAGTGCTATATAACAAAGTTTTCATAAAACCATGCATTATAAACCCGTTTACTAGGGCGAATTTATTTGTATAACGAAGTTCGTTATACAATTAACTAATCAGAATTATCGATCTTAATCTTTCAATCTACTAAAGCTTCCACATTGTTGTGTCTCCTTTCAGTTTCTTTCAATAAAGACTGTAAGAGCATTTCTATTATAAGCTTGCCCTCTATTAGTGTCGCCGTCAAATAATATCGAAGATGCTGGAATTAACTTCAAAAAAACGTTCTCACACGAAACATCCATGTTAAAAAAACCAACGACAACGGCTTGTTAAATTTTTTTGTTGAGCAGATTGCTCAACAAAATTACGGTTGAGATAAGTATTAACGGCAACTAGATGATAATCTTATTATTTGCAAATACACGTAGTTTAATCGGAAAATTAAAAATAGTAAACCCCCAAAACAAAACAAAACTGACAGAACCTTCTTCATGGAAATTTAAATTTTGAGGCTTTTCAAAGATTTAGAGTAGCCATAATGTCAACAACTTTCTTTCTTTTAATTAAAGAAACTCGCTCTCATGTGTAGGGAACTTAAAAATACAAATTTGTCATTTACATGAAAAAATAGCGAAAGTTCAAGAAACCTTTGCTTATTTTTCCGATAAATGCAAAATTTACTGGCAAAAGCGAAACACAGCAAGGAAATGTGTTGAACAAAACAAGTAGTCATGGCGTTGAAATGTAAGGCACACACATTATTCGTTTGATTGTCAATAATAATGCGTATGTGATAGACAATTAACCAATCAATTTAGTTCTTAAAAGATTATTGTTAAATTCGTAAATTTCATGTACAGTATGTCCTTAATAACAAGTACAAACTATATACTAAAATTAGAGGAGCAAAGGACATTGGACAAAAACAAGTTTGCAGAAAGATGTGGGAAAAGTTGTGAATATCAATATTACAGCATAACACAAAAGCAAATATCTGGTTTATCGTTTAAGACTTGTTGCTATCGAACAATCCAGAACGTAAAATTACATTTCGTTAAAATTTAAGTTTTGCTTACAAAGATGACATATTAATATTAATATATTCATCAAAGTTAACGTACGCCTTTCGCTGAGACAATGACGTCAATACACAAGATTTAAAAGGTTTTTTCCAGTAGGCGTATAATTCGTTAAGATGACGTCTAGTTGTAACTTTAATAGTATTGTGTTACAATCCTCCCAACCCCTGCGTGCAAACAAGTTGGAGATTCGTTTCAAGATTCGATTACACTGCAATCCCTGCAATCCCAATTCTATGAGCGACGTTAGAATGTGCATAATCAACTCGATTGCATGATATGTATCTTTATCAGCGAGCAATCAGCACAATTTGTTTCCTAATGCAATGGTCGTTACAGTATCTTCATCTACACCCTTAAACAAATAAATCGCATATAATATTAACCCTATTCCATAAGTATCGATAAGCTCGACCTGCAAGTCGAACTTTACAAGAAGAACAACGTTTACTCAATGGACGAATGGTATTTGTTTATCTATTGAGGAATCGCGGGTTTAATATGCGGATACAAACAAACACCCGTTTACTACTTTCAGAATTTAAGTTTGAACCTCGGACTAACAATAATCCGGACTTTCACATGGGTATGACCATTCGTTCTTGTTTGGTTGGCGTGCCTTTCATGAAACGACACCGTTCTCCTGGTCTCTAAAGACGGGCAAAATCGCAGTAGTAAAAACAATAAGATTTTGTGTCTATCGGTGCAAAAATGCAGGGTTGCAATAGTACGATATGGAACAATTATGCAGCTATGTTTTCCATCCATCAAATGTAACCGTTGATCCAAATCCCTCAACAAACGACGTATCGAGATCTCATTCCAGCGATTATCGCAAAATTTAATATATCGTTCAGTATTGTCAGGAGGCATGGTTCCCGATAATCATAATATAAACTTTTGCATTTTGTATCCAAATGACGGTTGGGCCTTAGCGTCTGTGGATTGACAGGTCAGAGCACTTTTTAATACAAACAGTGGATATGTTTGTAATACGTACTTTTGGTTTACTTGAAAATTATCAATCTATGATTGCTTTAAGTTTGTGCTCATGTTTGCCCCGAAAACAGTGTGCGCCGCTTTGTGAAAACACGCCAGCGATTGGAATCGATAATCCGAACCAATAGACGTACTCAAGCATATCTTAACAATGGTAACAATTGTCTGATAAACAAAATATCCGTCACGTTTATATTTTGGGGGGCTAAACTATTGGCTGCTGCATAATGCGTCAAATGCGATATTCTTTATCTGCTAGTAGTATTAAATCTATCTTCTTGACAATCAGGATATGTGTTCAAACCGATATGGATAAGATAACAATGTGTAACAGCGTACAAACAATTGACTTTACTATTATTATTATTATTATTAAGTTTCTAAAAGTAACTGCAATCTCAAGTCAATTTGCTGGTTTCTATTCAATGGCTCTATTACTATGGCTGCATGCTTTCAAAAATTTTACAAATGTAACAAAGAAAATTATCAAGTCTCACTCCAACTTGGGTGTTTTTGGTTACAGTTTTTTTCAAATGGGTTAGCAAACTGTTCAATTTTTTTTTAAAAGATCTAGTAGTTAGTTTCAAAATCCACTTTAGAGATATTCAGCTGCAACATCTTGTGTTACCAAGACAAACACTTAAATAATGAACAATTTCTTTTTTGTTACTAGCACATATTTTTTTACTCATCAATTGACTAATGTGTCATAAAAAATTTTTTGAGCACTTGAGTGTCAGAGAACATGGTATATAATTTCTATATACATGACATCTATATCTATATATTTCGTACAAAACGTTGGGGAGTTTTGAACGAATGAAAGAAACTATGAAGCATATTGTATGACTATATATGGTTGATGTTAAATATTGGAGGTATATCTTACATGAAAGTGTGTATGTATGTTTTATCGGCGTAATATTAAAAGGGGGAAAGGAAAATTTTTTGCTTGAAAAAAAATCTTATGGCGAATAAAAAAGGGGGTAATTCCCTTTTGGTTTGCTTAGTTTGATAAATGTGCATGGTGAGGAGATAAATTGCAGGGAGTGTTAGATCGTTGCATGCAAGAAAAGTGGTTAGAATATTAGTGGTTTCCTTTTCCCCCCTCCGGGCCTGGCCTTTCTAATCTAGTCACGAGTTAAAAACGGTATGAGAACAATTACAATTTTGCTAAGGGGATAAAGGAAAAAAAGCGAGGAGTCCGATGAAAGAAAAAAAACGACAGATTAATAAAGAAAATGATGAATAGTGAAGGGGATATAAAAAAAATAGGGGAATGTATACTACGAATTATCCGTGCAGACCAAATGTAGTTTTTCTATGTCACGCATGGTAACTTAATGGCAATCTATTATTGAAGTATAACATCTCACGTTCGCTTCCCATACCCAACGGAGCCTCAGATGTTGGGTAACCATATTTGCAAATGTCGTTTACGTCTTGTTGTGGCTTGAATGAAAAGAATCGTGCATCGACGACTGAGCTTGGATAATGCGATTCGACGTGCACTGGAGGCAATGGAAGTAAGCAATGAATTGCCGGCAATATTGGAGTGCCATAGCAAGTTACTGGCTGAGTAACACGAGGATAACCGATAGGTTTGAAACAGTCTGTGGGAGTTGGCGGACTTTGAGGGGCATTTCTGTAATGTGTAGTGGTGGTAGCACACTTGAGATGTGGTCCCGGTGAACTAGAACGGCGACGTGGTTCGAATGCACTATATTTGATATATTTCGATTAAGTAATTGATTTTTGTCGTCAAAAGATCAGCGTTGATTGGTGATTAGATTGATGGCTGGATGTATTGTCATACACACAACAACAATACACACATCTTTTTCATTGAGGATTTTTACTTTTCATTTAACAATGTAAAAGAAAAAAGCATCCAGAATGACCCAATTTCAACGGTTTTCAATATGAAATAATAAAAAAATTACATACGTATTATATTCTTTCCACGAAGGGTCGTGTGCGCGGGCATGTCGGGTAAGAGTGGTTCGGCGTGTGAAGGTTTTCCCACACCCAGCATATGAGCATTCATATGGCCTCTTGCCAGTGTGTGTCCGTCGGTGACGAGCTAACGACGAACTCTGTATATTGGAGGAATCATAAGAAAAAAACGAAAGTGGGAAAATTATGTGTTAGGAACTCGAGTATTACCTGATTTTCGGTATATAGAAATGTTTCCATATCTGCAATTCATCGCTTGGAACAAGGTTGAACAGGAGATTGGAGGATTGCAAATGATGCTTGATCTTTCTGTTAAATCCATACATATAAAGCTATGTTATCGAAAATCAGAGAGAGAACTTTTTGTACTTACATCGCTGAAGCTCTTGTTACAGTTAGGATGTTCGCAGATATGGGGGCGCTCACCCGTATGGGTTCTATAGTGGACTGTCAATGCGGATCTTTGAATAAACTGTTTACCACAGGCATGCCAGTTACAGCGATAAGGTCGTTCTCCAGTGTGTATTCTGCGATGTCGGGCTAGGTCGCTGCGTCGGGAAAAGGCTTTTCCGCATTTAGACCATTCGCATTCATAAGGCTTGTCGCTATCCAGTACAGTGTCAGAATCGCTTGTAGAGAGTGTAGGGCTGAGGGACTGGTAATCGTCTCCATTATTAAGTATGCTCCGGATAGCCATGCAATCTCGTTTAGACATTTCGTTCGTTAGGTGCAATGAAGGTGATGTGATCGTTACTGAGTGCTTGTGCGAACACTTGGAGTCGTTAAAGATGCTGCACTTTGAGTAAGGATGGGATGTTTCGATGCTTTTATATTTTCTAGATGATAAAAAAATCAATTTATTAGAGGGGTATTTATACAATAATGCACATATATATGCATTGCGTACATTAGCGTATAAATATTTGTACTGTATAATTGAATCGGTTGTTCAATCAACTTCTATTTTGTATGTTACGTACTTTACTACCAGAAATTCACCAGGAGCGTTGAGCTCTTTTTTATTCTTCAGTGATAGTTGGACGTTTAACTGACAACAAAAAGTTTACTAGTAACTATTCAGCTTGTCAGCAATAAGCGAGCGTCTGGCAATGAAGTGGAATTAGAGTTCTCTGGGACGTTTATATAGATGCCATGAAAAATGCCTATTTATATATATATAACGAGATATATAATTGGAATTTGTAATGAGAAATTATGAAAATACAAATATTCGGTATAAAAGCATTTCCTTTTTGTCATTGTTATATATTAACCCACTGTATTACTGGTTATAAATTTTTGATGTATATCCCTATTATATAATAAATATACTATTTTATAATGGGGACTGATGAACGGGACCGAAACATTATCCGTATTGAGTCGATAAGAATTGTTGAATCCCCAAATGAACTACACCCTAATCGCACTCCAATGTCACTCACGCTTATGGCTGATTTTGTCTTTTCTTTCAATCACAAGTCAGTGGCATATCCTATCATACGAGTCACATCTATTTGACGACAATTGTCTTTTTGATCAATTAGTTAGTATTCCAAGTCGGTTTTTGTTTCTTACCCCCCTTAACAGTAGTGCCCCTAAATTGAGGTGGAGTCATACAGCCCTTGTAATACGTAAACGATTATTCGCTTATACGGCATCTATCGCCATCATTATCGCCATCAATGATCATCATTCTCATCATCCCCACCATCATCATTATCATCATCATTATCATCATCATCATCAATATCGACGTTATGATACGTATTGTAAATCAGTCTCGCATAATACATTACAGACATTGGAACCATTCCTTTTCTTTACCTTATAACGATCACTCCCTTTCCTGCACAAAGAGTATCAACTCTGTGATGCGCACGTTATATGATGTAGTGTTACACGCACAAGTTTCATGCGGGGGGGGGGCAGAAACGGCAGCCCAAATGAAGAGGAAGATCGTATTAGAACCAATGTGCTGTTTTATTAAAATTTAAATAAGCGAAGTAGTACATATAAGCATATGGACATTTCATCATAGCCATTAAATGTTGTTAGCTTGATACTTCTAATTTTACTTACAGAGTACCTGGAGTTTGTATATGGATTTCGTAATTAAACATGTATAAACAAATAAATAACTCTAAACAAAAAAAAAAAAAAAACTATAACTTTAACTTTCCATCATAATAGACTGTTTATTTAATCATATACTATTTTGCAATTCATATATAATCTATGCATTGTTTCTTGCTCGTTAATCTTTTAAAAACACTTGAATTGAGACAACATGATGTCCTACATGTCGACGTGAATGTAAAACGGGTTAATAAGAAACCTCCTTCTTTTCTTTACAATATACAAACTTTTTCGGGATGTATTTTTGTTGAAACAAGTAAAAAAAAACGTGGGTGGTGAAAAGTAAACTCCAATTACGATAATGGATAAAAAGCGTATGGCTCTATAAATGAATAATAAATTATGTAATGGCAATATACAGGATTGCATGCAAAATCAAATTATTTTTATCCAATGCATTCTTTCTTGATTTCTAAATGCAGGGTTATGCAATTTATATGCCACGTGATATCAATTCCCACTATTCGTCAATGACATTGAGGGGAATGCATAGCTGTATGTATATGTAATGTATGAACGCATATGTATGCCGGATGTATATGTATGTGTGCGTGTGTGTATGTACATATCGTAAGAAATTACAATGATTATTTGTGAGTAATATGTTGAACAATGATAAATTCTCAGATGGGATGTGGTAAACTCGTTAACAACGAAAGTGTATCACAAAGAACTCATGGTATATGTGTGATGTCATTGTGTGGTGTTATAACGAATCTGGCAGATTATGTAATATTCGAAATATGATGTGCGCACATCCCCCCGTGTCCCATATTACTAGACCAACATCAATAGCGAATTGGGAGTGTTTGACTGTGATGATATGCTGAATTGTCAATTGCTGTTTTTGTATGTAAGCCGAGCAATGATTTTACATAATTTCTCTTATAGTCAAATTGCTATATAAAAAATGTCAAACTACACGACCGATGCGGTTCGTGTCGGACATGGTCTATAAAAGTTAGTTGTTTTTGTAACATTAGACAGAATTCGGCGTAATTAGGCTTATTCAACTAATGCATATATGCATGTTGATACAATCAATAAGTGCAAGTAGATTTCCATTGTTATAATATAATCCATCAAGTCACTATATAAACAGCATTAAATCATAAAGAACCGTTCAATTAACGCGCGTAAAATGCTTCTTCTCTTTGTATCAATCCCATCGGGGTGTCTATTATACTCGTTGTTGGTAAGTAGTAAATAGCCTATTTGATTTATGACACAATGAGGTCAGGAATATCATGTAAATATTTCTGACGAATCGGTCTTTTGACTATAATGTAAGAGCAAATAAAATTATAAGTGCCAAATATAGACATGTGCATCACATACATAATAGTGTTATAGTATACAGAGCATAATTTATCATTTATTTTTTTACCATGTTAATACATGCTCATCTTGTCATTAACCTCTTTCATTTCTATTCTCCGTATTTGTGTTTGTGAGATGCATCACTATTTGTAAATTGCTATAAGATTATCCGGACAACGTGGCATTTATATACATAGCTTAAGTGTACATGCGTGTTGCGTACAATTCAATGAGTAACATGCTATGTGCTCCTTACCAGGGTCGTTTGAGCACTAGTTACAAATTAAGCATATCCGAAGACCTATATACGGATGATACCGATATTGACTTATAAGGGTGGGGAATAATGTCGAATAAGATTAATATGAGATAAAACGACGGATTGTTGTTGCATCTTATTATGAATGATTCTATTTTCGTATCATTGATCAGATGTTATTGTGTGTGTACATCATGATTGATTGAATGATTTCGTCGATTGCCCTCGATTTTACATGTCTCACATAAACTAAAAGAATACCAACTTGCTGGGACATAATTACTCCCCTTTACTAATCGCCAATTTTCATTCGTAGCCCATTTGTCATTCACCTATCACCATTCCTGTTCTTTGTACATCGGCTCAAGATCCGTATAAGCTGATGAAGCACAGCATGTTCTAAGGTAATCGACGCTGGTTGTAATTGGCAAGGACAGGGGGCGTAACCCATGCTGTAACACTTTGAAATTAGATGTGTAACTCTAATTAAGGATGAATAATCCTTTTCGGGCAGACTTTATCGCTACTCGCTAGGGAAAAAAAAGCATGCCAGGAAGTTGGGGATTAACTCTCGTCTGTCCATTGACGCAAACATGTATGTATTATGCGCTATAAATAAATTTTCTCTTCTCAATTCCTAAATTTATTTCTCTCGATGAAACAATTTTTTGAATGGGGTGTGCAGATTCGTCAGGTATGTAAGCCAATGCTTATCCTCACGAAATCAGGAAACTGAGACATAATGCCCAATTTGGTAATGGGGGCTTTTCTTATTGGTCACTAGAATTAACAGTAAAAAGTGGGGGTTGGGGACGTGTGCTAGGGTGAGGGACCAACGGGTTTGCACACTGTGATGAATGGATGATGCATCGTCAAGCTATGTTTTTCCATCCGCACCTAATGTTACTTCTATAAGCTAATCGATTATTAACATTTCATTTCCGTCTGCTTGCTCAACATGACACAAATTATCATCTGAGGCTTAGTCATCGATTTGACATAAGGATATCACGATGCTGGTTTTACCAATTGGATTAACAAACCACCAGAATTTTCCGACCTGGTTACATCCGATCAATCAGGTGATTATCGTCTATTCGATAAATGCGGGTTCGATCTGAATTGAATTCAATGTAGTGCCACGCCGTCAACCACTCGCATTTACCTCACGATTCTTTTTACCTATGAACAAGGGGTAATTACGTCATGTGCTTGATTAAAAAGTGCATCAGGCTAGTCCAACAGTATACTGCTTACGTTTTTCGTGAGGATATGGATGCCACCAATTATCAAATCCGTCATCCTCAGTTTTATTAATGAGGAAAGTAAATGTGTAAAAATGGCAATAGATTAAAATACTTGACAGGCTGACAGCTCCAACAAAGACACGAGGAGATAGATTTGGTAGACAGACCTGATGCATGTCAAAAACAAAACGTGTAAATATCATTGCCGGGAGGAGGGGAAAGGGGAAATACCAAATGTCAATTGAATGATACATCAAACACAGTGTACATGATTAAATCGATCCTTTCAAAACTTGCTTTCCTGCGCATGAGCCAACGAAAAAACGAGTCCATGCAGGGGACAATATGAAATGTCCTTGGTAACAGCTTATGTCATCAAACAAAGCAGCACACGTTGTTTGCGAACAGTCCGAGCGGGCTGATTTGTGTGTTGTGAGTAAAAAACGGTAAGAAGAATTTCATTCGATAAGCAACGTTTTTGCACATCAATCAACCTATTTTTGGCTATGAATTTTGAACGGGTAAATTGCGTTGACAGAAAAGACGACGGGTAAGTCTTGCTATCGATCATCAACCAGCATGTCAATATGTTATAGAATGGCCTTTACAAATATCAAGTTATCGGTGCGGCTTTACGCCCACCATGTTTTTCTCTCTCTATAATTCTTCATATATTATGACTGTTAATATTATGTCATATTGTTTGTTGTTTATTATTTTCTATAAATAGTGCATCTCATACATTAGCGCATAGACCGCACTACACATGTTTCAAACAAATAATGCTGTACGCATTAAACAGTAGATTCGTGTATCGAATATCCGTATATACCACTCGTTTTCATTATAACCCCATCCATTAGGGGTGTTTGTATCTAACCACCTTTAACAGGTGATCAAGAAGCATCCACTCAATCGTTGATGAGATAATGCTTTTATAACAATCAGCGACTATTTTTGCATACAGAGCACTTTATTCGTCATTCAATTCGACCAATGCATTACACAATGCCCTTGATTTTTATGAATATCAATACCAATTTGACATGATACTGTTTCCCATTATGTCGCCATTGACAATCTCTTCGGCCAATTTTCTAAATTAATGAAATTGCTTGTTCTCCTGCCTGCATGTAGAGACTCATGTGAGTGTTTCATCGTCATTTCTATGAAAGGCTAAAGCGAAAAGACACATGGCTATAATTTAATCGCTAATTTTTACTTTATTTGAGTTAAAATAGTTTATTACCGTTACAGTATTTATATTAGTGTTTATACGTTAATCTTTTAGGTAGAAATAGAATAAGTGTTACATGGTGCGACTAAATATAGGTGAACCAAATTCCAAACAAATGACATGCACGGCGGGGAGTTGACAGGCGATATGGGTAGCACAACATCAGTAATGACGAAATAACTTTAAAGAAGAGGGTCTATCCACCGTTATTTGAAGAATTGACGATTATTACATAAGAAAAAAAAAGGTAATAATAAAGGAACCATGCAACTTGTTTTTACGGATTTCCGTTCTGTGTACCGTTATGTATGCAAATTATATATAATAATAGGTTGTGTGTAACAGGCGAATTGATGCACACAAAGACATGTCCAAAAGTATATTGCAAGAAAGCATCTCGGATATTGTGTTTAATTATTCAATACGCTGTCACAACTTATGCCTTTGTCATGTCATGTATCAATATCCAGCATATTACATATGATTATGACTTACAAACTTGTTAAATTTTTACCCATCTCTTCTTTCCCGTTGGAATACATAATAAATTGTGCATATTTTATATGATACGAAGTCGGCCTAACTAATTATGGCGTATATTGTTATAGGTGAACTGTCTTGGACAAAGTACTGAACACTCTAGCTTTCTAATTTGTCCAAAAATATACATAATAATAATAAAGGCTAAACCCCATTTATTAAATACTCCGGGTATTAATAAAACGCATGCTGTTCACACATATTCTCTTTGCAAACCATGTAAAAACGGGTTATTTGTCTGTAGTGTTAAAAGCTGCTTAAACCATATTCAAGAAGTCGCGTTGAAAAGTTGCTGAAATAAGATTTCATATATCATTCAGCTGTCAAACATGGAAGTGAGGGTTAATGGTGTTAGTGTGAGGTTGTGGCAAAGGCCTATAAAAGTAGTAATAAAATAAATCACTTACCACATTCAAATATTTTAATCAATAGCCATTTTAAATTTAGAAGACAGTTGTTTTAAGATGTTGGTATTAGTATACCAATTCATACTATAAAAAAGAATATATTGAAAAAAAAATTTTTTTTTGTTTAATTGGCCCTGTTGTACCTCAGTTGGGGACCTGTCTCAGTTCTGGACTGAGTGACTGGGTTCTGAACTGAGACAGATCCCAAACTCGGACACAACAACCCCATTGAACGTTTACGAGCACGACTCAAAAGGCGCGTTTATTTGTAAACCGCCTAGAAAAACCAGTGTAAAGATTACTGTGTCAAAATTTTATATGATTTTATGATAAAAATAAAAATATCTCGTATCGCATACGTACATTGATGAGGCCTATTAAACTTTGGTTCAATTTGATGCATAGACACGTTTACATTATGCAATGCAAATAGCTGATAGGTCCCAATACGGGCTTGCTTTATGAAAATACGCGGTATGAAACAGAGAGACGTGACTGTAAAATTGTTTATATAAACTTACAAAAGCTAGATTAATGGATATTAAATTTTAGCTTTAGTTATTATGTACACTCTTGAATAATTATTAAACCTAAAGCGTCCGATACTTTGTCAGATAGTGTAAATATCTAGAACGAGACAAATTCTGTAACTTATGAATTAATATTAATATTGTAATAGTAATAATTGTGACAGATTAAAACAAAATCGGATTAAAATGAAATTTTAAAATTGGGGGGGGGGGGGCAATTTCTAGGCTTTTTTTGAAATTTGTATGCTAGAAGAGTATACAGTATGTAGACCCCAAATTTATTTTAATCCAATTTCGTTTTAGTCTGCCATAATACAATGACGGTCGAATTTAAGGTATTGTCTTGCAAATGCATTATGATGGAAGCATAATTCTTAGTGCGACAATAAATTATTATAAATCGAAGCAAAATTTTCTCTTATTTCTACATGTTCCGATATTCTTTTATTCCTTTGTTCCTGATGTCTAATTACTAATTATTTGATTATTGCAATTATCTAGAATAATACACAAATCTTATTGAATTTAACAAGAGCTGAAAATGAAGCCATCAGAGGTGAGTAACGATTTTATTGAATGTGTTAGATCGATGGCGCACATATTTTATGCGAGAGAAAAGAAAGAAAGAAACCACCGATATATGATTGGAAGTTCGGATGGATTTGGAGTCAAAAGACATTCGTCTCAAATCATTTCTCAACCTGCTTGAGAAAGTGATTAATCCGAATGGTAGAGGCCTTGCGGATCATACTATCTCACAACGACAGAAAGGTCTCTCGTTTTATATTATTTTCTCGCAGGGATCGGAAATAAACATTGAAAAAAAGACATTGCTATGTTTTTGGATCATTCAGATACCTCTGATCAAGCAATCGGTACTTTATCTAACATGCAGTTGAGTTCTACGTCGAGGGAGAATCGACGTGAGAAAATATCATATCTTCTATTCATAGAGATAATGTCACAAGAGAGCTTGTAAAGTACAGGCGAATGCGGTAATCGCTATTATCATAACATTCATAGTTTATGCATTCCAACCAGTACGGTTGCTCACATGACTACAATTCTTGCCATCCCGATATCTACAGCAAGTGCGATTCCAAAGAGTGTCGGAGATGCAAACATACAGTAGTGTTTTTATTACTCAAAGAAAATCGGTTTATGGCTCTTCTATCTCAATCGTTAATGATCGGTTTGCAAGAAAACCTGCTTATGCTGAAAATAATTTACTTGATAATCTAACAGTTCATTGTTATGATATAGATATCCATGAAAAACGACACAATCAGGAAAAGCAAATGGACAAAACGTGACAAAAACAAACTTTCATGCCATCTTGCAACTCTTAATATAGACGACATTTGCCAATGGCGTTCAATTCAGAATACCCTCCATTTGATCCATCAGAAAAATGTCATCTTCGGAATTCTTGTAAAATGTCGCAATCGACTTCTGATCAGTCTATCTTCCATGTGGCCACATTTATCATCAACGTTGCTTGCAATATCTCGAACATAAATGTTTTTATTGTTTAAAGTATATTAAAAATGAAATTAATTATAACGTAAATCTATTATTCCAATCACACAAATGTCTGATATGCTAATAAACCACTGTAGTATAAGCTTACTTTTATTTGAGAAACGCATATTTCCAGAACATCAGTAGGCAAAAAACGTACAGCATGTTACAAAATAGTGATGGTGAAAAGTAATTGTATTTTTTTAATACATGCTTAAGTAAAATCAGGATCTCGAATATGGGATAATCTACAGAAAATTTTTTTTATCACCGTAACACATACTAACAGATATGTATAATAAGTAACTTATGTTCTGACGCATATGATACATTGTTTATTTATGTATAGCAAATATGAATAACATGATAATAATAAAAGAAAATTAGTGTTTCTAATTAATTATCGCGTTATCAACTAGCAGTTATTTGTTAACGCTGAATACACATAGATTCCATCGCATATATTCTCTAACACGCAGGTTTTTATTTTTGAGTAATAGAATTTTTGTTTCGCCAATTTGCATTATACCATATAAACAATTAGCAACTTTGATAAGCTACACCATCCGAATTACGAAGCATCGATCATATGATTAATAGCATTATTGCAGAAGGAAATATTTATCCACCTAATTAGTAATCTCTCTTAATAATGCACAAGAAACTAAGCGGTCATCTGACAATGTACGTAATCTTTATCGCCAACATTTTCTTTGTCCCACATATGCTCACAACCAATCCGAGACGTCGAATACACATATTCAGATGGTCGTACAGCCAAATGGACTATTTGGACATTTATCAGAATTCTTGACTATAATAATAATAATATATCGTGCCCCTTATTGTAAGAATTTTCAGGAGGTTTAAGCCTATGCACTGCTCGATCATAGGGCTCGGAAATATGGCTAGGCTGTTGTCAAAACTCCTAAATTTGCCCACCAGATTTATTTTACCTAGATCAAACTATCGACAAAAGTAACTTCGATAATTTTTTTGGGTGCAATTTTTTAGGCTTTTGGAATTGGGTTTATAGAGAGTATATGTAGGTTCAGAGCTTGAAAGAGGACCCAAGAAGACATCAAATTTTGTTTTAATTCGTATCGTAATAGAATCAAGTAGCACATTCAGCTTTTATAACCAACAGATGCTTTGTAAATCTGGTCTTAAGGGCGATAAGATCTTGGAATAGTTTTTATTAAAGGGTAATTCAATTTTGAGTGAAGGATTAATTCAAGACATAAGCAATTTATTATATGATTGCTTAAATCATAACGAGCATATTTTATTAAATTCATATGACTTGTCCATATATTCTTATAGATGCATAATAACAATAACTGCGAGTTATCAACTTTACCACCAGTTAAGAGTTGCGGTTGTTAGGTTGGTTGAGATTAATTTTGGTTAACGCCGTTGCAAAGAATTTGGCATAACCTCTTAGTTCCTCTGTAGTCTAGGAATTTATAGTTGTATTAAATGCTGTTCTAATAATAATAACGCAAAATTGTTTGTCATAAACTTACCATTTGTGCGAGCTTTTCTCTGCCAATACCATAATTTACTACAGTTTTGCATTCATCTACAATATTGGCCGACTTTCTAACATGATAGAAAGCTGTTCCTCTTTGTAGTCTGCACCTTCTTCTGCTATTCTTCGTTTTTCCAGACGTTCCACCACCATGATAGGGTTATATCCTGTAAAATCTAACTCTTTAGGAACTGTTCTACGTTTTTGACCGAGCCGTAATCTTGAAAAAGACGTTGAAATAGCTGGCTCGTTCGGAGACTGTTAATCGAGTGATATAAACGTATTTTAGTTGTACCGATATTTTAAAGTTAATCAGAACAGATGGAGCAATTCTTACCATAGTTGCTAATTCTTTTCTATCAATGTCATCCTTTGTAACGAAACCTATGTCATTTTTATTGCAGTCTCCGACGTGGATTAACTCTTTTGACGAATTTTCTAAAATGTCGACAGAGTTTTCCAAACTGTCCGTTACAGGTAACATTTTTTTACACTTTGAACAGTCTTTTTTCACCGATTTTTTCGTTCTGGTTGATTTCTTATCAACTACCATGACTGCACTTTTTCCCGTAAAATCTAACTTTGCAGGTGCAGGAATCTTTGACTTACGTCCACGATTACGGCGAATCATCGATGACATAGTTTAAGATGACGGCTGCTGGAGTCACTATTTATAACGCACGTATCGTTACACGATGTATGATCGGAATGTGACGTCTTAACAATCACGTATAAATAGTAAATGAATCCTAATATATAGTGCTTTCTTGGGACACTTGCGCTTATAAGCTCAACCATAAACGTCTATCCGTTGAAACAACCATTTTTAATAAAACTATATTAGAATAACTGTCTTCATTGAATCAATAATAATGATCACTTAGTACAGTGAAATAAACTCCATTATAGCACAAGTTTCCACTCGAAACATTTTTTTACCCAACTTTACAGACACTTAGTTTGTTGGGCATTTTTTTTCAAATGTATTTAGAAAGTTTTCTAGGATTACATTTTCGAAACAGCTCTCTATTAATCAAAACACTTCTCGTTGAGGAGGGCTTTGAGCACTTCTATGGTTAGTTTTTAATAATTGCTTGGCACACTTGGCCAATGTGTATTAGGTATATACTGTACGTGCAAAATATATTTATTATAACTATAATCAAATTAATTTCTTACTTGAGATACACTACTACTAATACTGTAGATTTTGTTGCAAATCAGGTATTTTATCATAGCCAATAAGAAATTTCGATTCGAATTCTGACATTTTGCTACACACAACACACTCTTAACTTCCCACTTGCCCCGACGGACAAATGTCAGATCAACAACACAAAAGCAAAGGAACTGAAACTGTCAAGGATACTGCAAAGCCAAGAAAGAAGAAAGCAAGCCAGGATACTGATAGAATAGAGAATACTAATTCAAAACGGGAGGACATATTATTAGAATCGCTACTAAAGTAACAATATATATTCAATATATCTCGTAAACGTTAAATAAGTGTATTGACCGCTCGCTGTTACTAGAGACTACAACGCTGCCTCATCTGGACCTTCAAAATGTCCCGTTCCATGCTGCAACCAACGACTGACTGCTACAAGCTTCAAGTGCCAACATTGTAATATGGAATACTGTATCAAGCACCGGTAAGCATGTGTGGTAATCGTGAATAGTGAACAGAAATCACAATAGTTGTCTATCTTAGATTGGTTGGAGTTTGATTTAAATCTTGGCTTTTTGAGCTCTATCAAGACTTGCGAAACCCATCGATCTCTCTAGTTTTTGTTCTTTATCTCCTCTTGCTTTCTTTCATTCGCGCCATCTCCCTACGTAGTCTCCCTGAATCACACTCGCTAAACTGCGCAGATAAAGCGAAAAGAGCCGCGCACTCTGTATTTCAACGGGAATCAATGGTCGTGCTTACTGCAGAGAGACAAAATCCTGGTATTACGAATTCAAGAAATTTCAGCGCCGCGAGGACTAAGGAGGATATAAAGAAGCGGTATAAAGAGAGATTGGAGCAAACGAAACAAGAACGGACCGTTGGAAAGAAAAAAGGCAAAAAGTGAGGCTGAATATGGACGAACTTTAAAATGGTAGAATGGCTAGGATGACCATAGGATGTAATAAAGGGGAGTGCTGATGTCAGCACACAGTAGGAATGAGTTGCTGCATTATCTACCTTTTAACCTATGGACGGGTGGGATGTTTAATTTCTATGACCAAAAATGTAATATGCGAAATATCTAATGCTTACTTATACGTGAGCTACCTATTCGTATTCGGCGTAATTACGAACTAGCTCTGCTTATAATCTTGTTTTGACATCGTGAATTGTGGAAGATACGGTTTTGTAATTTGCTTACTAAGAGCTTATTATGGGCGTTATTATCAAGTTTGTATTTTTATTATTTAGAAATTTAGAAAATGTATTCGATGTATAGAATAGGCAGACTTTATTAACTGCGATTATTCGGGTGTTGGTGTTAGGTTTTAAGATAGCGAACGAGGTAATTCGGAATCATTGAAGTGTCTTTTTTTCTGCACTAATCATGGGGAGCTTAGGAAGCTTAGAATATGGAGAATTGATCCAATGTGCATCTTATTACTTGGAGTGACAATAATCATAAAAGGGCATATTTGTTACTCGAAGCACATTTGTAGAAAGACTATAACAGAATTATTAAACTATTACTTTATTAGACAAGAAAGTGGTAACTTATAAACTAGCGGAAGTGAAACAAATACAACTGGTATATTATTCTCAATTAATCAATTCCCAAGAATTGTAAGTAAACCTTGTAAGTGCTTACAATTTTGTAATTGATATTTGTCCTACAACACGTTGCCCACAAAACTTTGCCACAGGTTGACGGGCTGGAAGATGTATGACTGATCTAAAAAATAAGATTTCCTTTTCCAGAAAATGATATACTGTAAATCGCGACAATAATTACAGCGACTTTTTATTTTTGGGCCAACGCAATACTTTCAAATTCTATAGTGTGCTAAAAATCCATTGACGATGATAATGTAACCCGTCGCCTACACGATCATGCAAGTAGAAGTAAATTAAAGTATAATAACAATCTAATAAATGGCGAAGTAAATTTTGAACACTTACCATCCAGATGAAAGAACTGGCGAAGCTAGGATTAACAAACTTCAGACATTAGAAGCAATCGTTAATAATATTACCATTAGAATTTTGCACGTTTATGAAATGTGTTTATATCAGGTATGATGTAATATTTATTCCAATAAAAAGAAAGTATATCTTACGTGCCATGACCGATTATAATAAAATAGTTCTATTAATCAAACAAAGCGCTGCTTAAAAGGCAAAATTAAATCTTGGGTTAGAAGAGTATAAGTACACCAACATCAGTAGTCAAATACAAGTGGGTCTCGATTATAACCAATGTGTTTGTTAGATTATTATTATTGCAGAACGTGGTAGAATACGGGTCCGTATTATTTCACCGACAATCATTTCACCGTAGTATTTATTGCAGTATATCATTACTTTATCCTTTCCCAATTATGCTTTGTATTATACTTTATCTTGATTAAAAGAGAAAATTTATAATCATTTTGGAGTTGTCAATAAAAATAAAATGCTGCGGCACATTTGTTCATTCTTATAAATAGACGCATGGTACGGAGGGTGGAGGGTGGGCGAAGGTACGTCGGTTATGCATAACAGTATATATATAATTGGTCGCATAAAATTTTACCAGAAAAGGTAATAGAAGGTTAGTGCGGAATATTGATTTGGGAAAAGATGTTCGTAAACGACGAATGAAAATATATAATCGACATATAAGGTTAAGATTGCGCATCAAGTGATGAAGGCGAAAATTTACTATACGGTAAAGGTTTGGTGTCTTTTTTAATAGAGATGGTCCCTCTCAAAATAGACCCCAAAAATTGTTATCTACCAATGAGCGATGATATCTTTCATGTGATATTGGGCAACAAATGATCTGCACAAATTTGGGGGTCGAATCAAAGTCTACATGGAGTGACCCCTATATTAATCAACTTTAAACTTGCTATAGTGCAGTAGTAGTAGTGAACGATTTTACTAATGTACTTGAAATAAAAATTATCAAGATACGTAGAGAAGGCCGCTGAGAAGATGCCTATGCAAAAATCTTATTTTGTGCAATCAGACCATTTACCATCATTTTGATAGTCCAGTCCCCATATATAGTGACGCAAATCATATTCGACACAGACAATATATACAGTGTGTCTCAAAAAAAAAGGGGGTTTCCACAATTATAGATAAATTTAGGCTCATTTGAAAGATTATGAGCTGCTTTATTAATGAAAAAATTTTCAATATGTAATTCTATTGCTGTTGTGTTGTAAAATTAGTTCACATCTCCGCCCATAAACAAAATACTCTTCTTGAGGGATTTACGGACCGGTCTTTCTCCGTGTTTATGCCATCTACGGATTTTGTTACGAAAAAGATCGAAAACTGTTTCAGTAATATTGTATGTTGCCAATCATCATTCATGTGAGCTTGTGCCTACATCATTCTTGCTTCTGTTGTATGTCAGATCGGAATATATGGTATACTAAATTTAATCATTGTAAATATGCTTTAGTTACTAAAAACGTTAATGATTTCTCTTCTAGTGAGAAAAATTGAAAGATGAGGGGTATTAAAATAGCATTGTGTAAGAATGCTTTGAACTACAGAAGACGTTAGCGCTTGTCTTTTCTATTTGTAGGCA